AACCCTAAACCCTAAACCCAGATTATTGTTATAAGGGTATACCCTTCTCGAATCTCACACCAGGACTGGGCAGTGACAGAAACTGGGCTCCACCGAGCCCTCGGGGCTTACGTGCACAGGAGGCTCGGAGCGAACTCCGGGGCGAGGCCAGGTTCAAGTTTGTATTATATTATTATGATAAAATAAATACTAGTGAAACCTGCCAGGCTTGGGCACGAGAGGATGGCGATGTTGAAGCGCATCGTGAGGATGGTCCGAGGAATGAATCCTGAGGCCGCGCGAGATATTATTATTATTATACTATGTATAGACATGTACCGTATATTATATTATCTTTCTTTCGTCGTGATCCTCAGGCTGATCCAAAGAAAATCCCGTATGGAATGGACAATGACGAAACACAAGTGGTGGCAGGAGTGTACGTTACGTATACATGTGTACATGTAATCCCTGCTTGTACATCTCTATATATTCTACTTTCTGTGATATCTTCAGGATATGATGATGAAGACGACGATGTCATCATTGTCGAGCCCCACAAGAGCATCCTCACTTGCAGCCAAAGTGACATGGAGGATCAGTTATAAATGTCTAATAATGCACTGATCGATCCTTGTGGTGGGTTTTTTGCTGGAGATTCGTGCTGCAGGACTCACAAGGTGAGGAAGCTCAATTTGAGCCGCCTCAACCAGTCACGACCACAGCCTTTGCCATTGCATACACATGTGATGTTCTGAGTGGGCTTCAAAAATAAATATTTCAGGTGACGGAGACTTCGACATCGGCCCCCGTGCTTCGCAAGGTGTCTCATCTATAATTATTATACCGAGATGTGTAGGCATGCCATGCAAGTCATGATCGAGAAATCTGTGGCAGGCTGCTGCGATTCGCAGCTCTCAGTTTTCGAGCTCTGCAGAGTTTCTGGAAGAAGGAGATGTTGCCAGGCTTATATTAAGATCTTGTGTAGTAGACACACACACACATATATATATATACACATGTGTGTATATATATATATGTGTGTGTGTATGTATGTTCATGCATCTGTTCGTCCAATTCTCTTATTTTTACAGGTTCCACGGCCATCGAGATCCCCAACACCGTCCCCACCAAGATCTTCGATGAAGAAGAGAAGGAGGAAAGAGGGCATGCTTTCGGATTCGCCTTCTTCGAAGGCCAGCTGTGCTAGAGAATTAAACTGATATGTTTATTTCCGGGAGCTTGAAACTGATTGCATAGGCACCTGTTGCTTCGAGCTCAGCACCGGCAATATCGGAGAAACAGAGTGAGGAAACACAGGAGGTGCAGCACAGCAGTATATTATCCAAAACGAGTCATAATCTATTATTTGCTCGTTTTGCAGGTGGCTGACAAGAAGCAATTTGGTGTGGAGGAGGGACATACATTACACACATATATGTGTTACTTCCTATTTGCCTTTGCTGAGGTGACCATGTGCCCGGGGAATACCCCAGAGAAGTGTCCCAAGCTCGAGGCTGCTTGTGTGTATTCATCATAATGCATTTATGATTACCCATGTACTGGCAGGAGCTATATTGTCCTTCCCCGCTAGCAGCAAAGACGGCATCCACAAAGAAGAAGAAGAAACAAAAGACTGAGGAAACACAGGAGTCCCCGCTAGCAGCAAAGACGGCCTCAACAAAGAAGAAGAAGAAGCAAAAGACTGAGGAAACACAGGAGTCCCCGGTAGCACCAAAGACGGCCTCAACAAAGAAGAAGAAGAAGCAAAAGACTGAGGAAACACAGGAGGCCAGAAGCATATGTAGTAGAACGCAGTCTGTTTAATTTACATGCCGGGGGTTCCCATCAAAAGGTGCCACCTGCTGAAAGCTCGTGGGATGATGGCAGCAAGGACCGCATGCATGTTCCGACGTGCAAATAATATATTGTTGCATTGTAGAATTTGCAGCCAAATGTGGGGACAGGACGCCAAGCCGATGGAATTCCCAGATAGCCAGCCGATTTTCGAGCCGTGGCCAATCGAAGTACCGGATGCCAGTCCTCCCAGTGGCAAACCCAAGGTGCCTCTTTAGGTGCATGCATGTGTTTATTATATATGTGTACGTATGTTGCCGCTAGTGCCCCGACCAAGGCGGCAGATGGCGAGCTCACAACATCAGATCCAGCAGCAGATGAGGATGCTTTTGATGAGGTGCCTCTGTGAGTGCGAGAGAGAGAGAGAGAGAGAGAGACACGGCTATATGTATTACTATAATATATATATAACATAATAATATATTTAATTTATTATTCTAGTTATTCATGATCAACATTTTAAAATTCCTTTGTCAGGATGATGGGAGGCTGCCGCTGACTTCTGTGCCCTGGCCAGTTTGGCAGACGACAGACCAAAGGCTGGCTGAAGCCGACAAATTAATTGAGGATCTCGAGAAGAAGACAGGCCCCTTAAGCGACAATGTCTTGCAGGCGGGACTGGTAAATAATGAGAGTGTATATAGTATATATATATATTCTATGTCTTTCTATTCTAAATTATTTATAACTAATTATAATACTTATTCAGGAGCAAAGAAAGCTTCGCAAAACGATACGTGAAGGGCCAGAAGAAGAAGACGCTGATGAGGACAAGGGGCCTGAATCCAAAGCCAAGCCAAAAGCAAAAGCAAAGGCAAAGGCAAAAGCAAAAGCAAAATCAAAAGGCAAAGCAAAAGCAAAAGCAAAAGCAAAAGGAACACCGGAGACCAAAGCCGTGTTGGAACATGACAGGGAAGCAGATGAGGTGTTGAGTGAGGCTTTGGAGCTAGAGCAGGAAGAGCAGGAGGTCAAGAATGATGTTCGCCTAGAAGCCGATGAAGATGAAAAGCAGCCTAAGAAGAGCAAAGGAAAGAAAAAAAGAGGCAAGAAAAGCAGAGGGCATCTTCATGAAGCCGAAGGAAAGGATAATGCAGGAGGGTTTGAGGAAGCAGCCCAAGGAAAGGATGATGCAGCAGCAGGGTTTGAGGACGAAGCCCAAGGAAAGGATGATGCAGCAGGGTTTGAGAAAGAAGCCCAAGGAAAGGATGATGCAGCGGGATGTGGGGATGGTGATCATGCCGCACCCAAGTTGAAAGGTGTAAAGCGCCGCCTCGAGTTCGACAAGTGTGAGGAAGCCGGTGATGAGCTATGGCCAGGAGTGGAGGCTGTGCCATTTGCTATTAAAGAAATGTCATGGGTGCCGGTATGTACCATATGTATATATATATACATATCTACATAGTTAACACATATATAATATTTATATATACATATATATA